CCAGTTTACTCTGCCCTGTGGCTCCCCGAGAGCTGCTGAAATAGCACTTTCACTTCGTGGCGTCTCAGGTCCCACCACTCTTCCTTACAAAGATCCTGTTGCACCGGTCAAGAGATCACAGGTCTCATGCCCATAAACACCAAGCGACGCAGGCCGCCGCAGCTCGCGTGGACCTCTGGCAAAGACCAGGAATGACGAATAAAGGGTTGTGCTTTTTCTCACATCTTCTGAAAGTCTGAGAAGTGATGGGATCAACAGGGCCGATTCACGCACTGCGCGAATACTTCCTGTTCACAGGGCGCCTCGCTCGGGGCGCAGCCAAACCCAGCAGGCTATTCTATCATTATTTTAGGCCGACAAGAAATCTACATTAAGCCCAAACTCAAAACCTTTCCTTTTCCCTGCTCCCAGGGCTGTACGATAGACACAATGGCAGAAACGCTGTGGGGAGGACTCCGGTGCTGGTGCTGGTTCTGAGGGAGCTTGCTGCCCGTAGCTACACCCATGCCCTGAGCTGTCACGCGTTCCTGTGTTCAGCTGCAGAGACTGATCGACTTGTGCTGCCGCCTCCCTGCTGTAATCCAAAACATACCCAGTACAGCCTTCCTGAGGGTGCGGATGAGCCGAGATCCATGCTGCGGTCACGCGGTACACGCTGGTCGGGCTGCGTTAGGAGCACTGCTCTTTCTTCCTTTAAGCCTTCCTCCACTTACGCCCGCTAACAGCTATGTTCTTTGGAACGAAGGTGCATCGATACATATTATTAGCGATGCTATGGTTTCTCTCTCCAGAAATAACTGCTGGGGCTTCAAACATCCTGCTCAGCCAAGCCGTGTCACGTTTCACTTCAATCAAACCACACAGACATTTTGACTTTGTCTAGAACTTTTATTTCAAGGAGTAGAATTGTTTTGAGCATATTCACAAGAATAAATATAAAATTACTCTTCAGAGTAAGAAGACGAGTTTTTACAAAAATATATTTCTATCCCACAGAACCACTTAGGTGGGGTTCTCATTAGGAAATATTATTTAATAAAAAAATAAAACACTGAAAATAAAATGCTTGACCTATACTGATTGGATCACCAAACAATTGAAATTTTTAAAAGGATATAAATATTGTATATATTGTTAATAAAAATAACATTTAAATAGATGGGAAGCCACTGAGTCCATGCAGACAAACAGAACACTGTAGGAAGCCACCGTTTTCCTCTACAGGGCAACAACTTCCTTGTATTCACCGGCGTTCGTTTGTCTCTTCTTGCTTCGGTACCTGGAAGCAAAAAAGAGAAGCGTGAGTTCTGGAAAGCCAGTTGTTCCAAAGGGCTTTTTGGGGAGTGAAGGGAGGCGGGGTTGAGGGAAGGAAAAAAAATGCTGTATGACCTCCTCACGTTTGCTTTAAACCTCTAGCAGCTAGGCTCTGTCTGTGCTCACTTCCGGGTCTGAGATAACGTGCACGCAGAGTCTCATTTCTCAGCTCTTCACAGAAGATATTTCACATCTGCATTAAAGTCTTGCTGCTGGCACTAGGTTTGTCTTTGGGAAGTCTTGCTGGATCCTTCCCTGCCATGGGGCTGAGTACCCTAACCAGCTAGGCCATCTTCCGTTTGAGATGACACGCCATCGAGTCTTCAGGCAGGGGAGAGGAATGACAGCGGTTACCAGCTGGCTATCAGATCTGTGAAGCTGAGCTCTCCCTCTGGGGGTTGTTCCACCTCCTTGGCTCTCTGACAGCTGCTTACGATTAATTATTAGCCTGAAGAATGATTCCTGCTGCTTGTGGGTCTGTTAATGGAGAAGACTACTGTCCTCCCCGGTAAAGCTGATAAGGCAACGCTTGTGATATCACAGTCACCACAATAACACGGCGGATAAACAAATTAGCTATCATTCATCCAGTTGCTCTCCCGTTCCCGATGGCTGGGGAAATGGCACTACCAAGAAAAGGAACTAGAATTTTCATATGCCCTGTCTGCTCTCTCCTTTACCTCGACACACCCTCTAAGAGGCACGTGAACTAACCTATACAGTCCTCGCTCGGGGTTAAAAGGCACCTGAGGGTACTGCTGCCCAGCCTGCCATCTGGGTTATGCTATGCAGGCACCATACTTCCTTTTTTGAACACCTCACTCAGTGCAGGCTAGCAGGGCTGGATATCGGACTATCTGGAGATAGATCTGGAGATCTGCAGGCAAGTGAGTGTAGGTATCCCAGTCTATCTGGAGGTACTCGGCTGACACCTGACTGCACATACAGCTGACTTGCCTTCCTGAGCCACGAAGAAAATCCATCTTACCTTCTCCAGATGTAGTAGCTTGCAATAGAGACGGCGGTGAGGAAAAGCAGAACTACGATAACTGTCAGCGCCACGTACTCCTTGCTGAGGGGTTGTCTGACAAGTTCTGAATGCACACACCGGACACCAGAGAAGCCTACGTCACACCTGAGGATAAGAGACACAATTAGAGACATCGCCGTGGGGTTACGCTTTAGCAGTCCACAAAGCATGCTATGCTGCTGGCCTGCCATTTCCTCAGGGACAAGGAAGTCAAACTGACGCTAATTCAAGCACATGTGGTCCTAGAAATGGTTGCAAATTCTTCAAGTAAATGAGGAATACCCTTAAAAATGCCTAGAGGGTCTTTATTTGGTAGGCTGATCAAAGGAGAGACGTTGCTGCTTTGCCTGACGCCTGGATCTCCCGCTACTGTAAATACAGATGAACAGGTAAGCACATCAGGACGAGCGCCCCGAGTCTAAGTTGGGTTGGTGACTAATTTCAGGTGTCTAAGACTCTCACCCAGGTTTCACTGGAGTCAGTGCATGTGCTTAACACTTGCTTAAATGCAGCTGAGGCTGACTATAGATATATGCTGCTCCCCTTTGAATTCTTGTGAGCATTTAAATACTTTGCTGGATTGGTGTTCCAGCAAAGCATCACCTGCAGCAAGATCCAAGGCCACATAAAGTTCACCTCAAAGCCCACCTCGGGGAGGTCTGCAGGACGCGTCGCGCCCTGTCCATACCTGCAATAGTGCTCATTCAAGTCCACTATGTACACGCAGTGTCCGTGGAAGCAGTAGTCCTTCATTTCAGGCTTGCATCTAGTTATCCCGACTTGAGCCACACGTGGACTGTTCTCTGTCTGGACTGCAAGGAGGTTTTGTTAGCATCTCACCAGCCTTGTCTTCCCTTTGTATTTCCGAAACAACGCACAAGCTTTACAAGGACGACTAACAGTCTCGTTACCAAGAGACCGCCAATGCAGTAGGCATTAAAGCAGGTGAGCCTTCGGAACAGGGAGGATTTTCCCAGCCCAGAGCTATATTGACTTTTCCTTTGGGAGTCCCACATGAGCTATTTCTGCTTTTACAGCAGAGTTCTCACCTCAAACAGAGCTCTTCTGCTGAAGAAGTAATATTAAAGGAAATGCAGGCTAAAACATGGCTCTTGTTCAATGAGACTGAGCACTTTGCAGGTTGGCAGCAATGTTGCTCAACAGAAAAAAAGGATTTCCAGGGGCACCTCCATGAGGCTGCCAGCCCAAGGCAGATGGGAACCCAAGATTTGTTATTTACAGAGAGAGCTGTGCAGTGCACTTACTTAGCGCTGTTGTGCAGTTCTCCATTTCACCAGGCTCACACAATGGGATCACTGTTGTGCCCAGGACCGACTGCAATAGGTAACCTGTAAGAGAATAGAAAGAAGAGTCAAAACTAGATGCTTTTCAAGTATTGTTAACCATTTCAGCTGGTGTCCTCATGAAGTTAATACAAGAACCGTTCAGCTCCTGCTCAGAAGCTGTTTATCTAGTAGGAAAACAACAGCGTTGTAAGCTGAAAAAATACAGGTCTGAGAGATCTGCTGCCTATAGTTACATAAAGCAGCCCAAAGAAACATCTCTGAAATACAAACTTTTACTGTAGAACAGAGATCAAACAGAAACTCGGTGTCTGTGACCACCTCTCACCCACACCGAGTGAAACTGGGCAGGAAGAGGCTTAGAGAGATTACAGAGGAGAGGCAGAATTCAGGCCAACTCCGACTGAGTTAGGCTTCTGCCCAGTCTGGCATGGCGCCTGCGCGAGGGACACAGCCAGGGTTCCACAATTCAGCGTGACAGTCCAGTGTTCATCGCAGGACGAGTTCTTTCGGTGATCAAAATCAAGATGTCTTTGAGTCACAACAGTCCACGGGGAGAGAATTTCCTAGGACCCAGCAAGTCCTGGAGCTGGTGACTCAGCACCCCAGGACAGTGCTGAGCCAGGCTCAGCGCCCCGCCACCGGCTTCACAGACCACGCACTGCTCGAGGTGGGCTTAACGCGAAAGCTGCTCTTGAGCAGCAAAGAGCTTCCTCGGCCGCCCGCCCGCTGTAAGCAGCCTGAAAGGCTGGACAGTTCCTGCAGGAGCAGGCGCTCCTGCGCTGGAGCGTTTCGGTGGAAAGCCCCCTTGCAAAGACACCTAACACGAGATACCAAACTGTTGGGGTTTAACCCAGCAGGCAGCTGCACACACCCAACCGCTCGCCCACTGCCTCTCTCCTGCAGCGGGATGGAGGAGAGAATCGGGGGAAAAAAAGGTAAAACCCATGGGTTGAGATACAGGCAGTTTAATAAAACAGTAGAGGAGGAAAAAAAGTAATAACAAAGTAATAACAATAATAATAGAATATACAGAATACACAAAACAAGGAATGCTCAATGCATCTGCTCACCACCCCACTGACCAATGCCCAGCCCATCCCGAGCAGCGGTCGCTCTCCCCCGGCCAACCCCCCCAAGCACGACGCCCTATGGTCTGGAACCCCCCTTTGGGCAGTCGGGGTCGGCTGTCCCGGCTGTGCCCCCTCCCAGCTCCTTGAGACCCTGGCAGAGCAGGGGAAGCTGAAAAAGTCCTTGACCAGTGTAAGCCCTGCTCAGCAACAACTAAACCATCAGTATGTTATCAACATTCTTCCCCTACTAAATCCAAAACACAGCGCTATGCCAGCTGCTAGGAAGAAAATTATCCCAGCCGAAACCAGGACACAAACCCTCCTCTTCATCTGGTCACTGGGTTGGAGAGGTGACTGACCGCTTTACGGCTCCTGGGCCAGTGTTACTTATCTCAGCAGAACCCCAGAAGGAAACGGGTACGTTTCTGTCCTTCCTTCACCATCCACACCAAAGTAAACCGCAGCTCAGCAGGTTTGATGTGGGTACCAGATGTAACAGGAGACTGCACCACATAGGCTGAGGAGTTCGGCTGCCGGAGCGGTGGCTGCATTTCCCTGGGGAGTAAGGGCCCTCCCCTTCCCTCCCCTCGGAGATGGAGCTTATAAAGCATTTTGACATCTTTTGGGCTGCACGGTGCTGCACAAGCACAGCTTTCAGGTGTTCTACTAGTTAAGTGAGCATTTCCAAGCAGGATTTGAAGGCCACACAAGTACTTGCAGCTTCACGGCCAGCCCGAGAGGAACAGTCGGTGTTTGCCCATGTGGCCAGGAAATCCACTTGGCTAGCACTCCTGCTGTGGTCACAAACTAACCTGCTCGTGAACTGCTTACTCATCAGCCCCATTCCACAGAAGTCTGTAATTTGTGTCTTTGGGCTGTTTGCCTCTATTAACTTGTCAGGTCATGCATGTCTAATGGAGGGAGTGTGCCTTCATAATTTGTTGATCACTCTAATTCAACTCCAGTTATTAGAAAGTTTCATTACACCTCAGAGTTCAATCTAGTACTGATTTATGGATTTCCTGCAGCTCATCTATTTCTGCATGATTAGTAGGCTTCCTTTAAGCTTCATTCCAGCTAGATATCAGAACAACAGGGATATCCATCTTAGAGGGACAGGGTTTGGTTGCGTGTTTGTGTTCCTTTAAAAACACCATTCCTTCTCCTTACTTGCTCTCCACCACATTCCTCGCAAAGCTAATAAGCCAGGTTTCCACCAAGCTTTAGAAGAAAGGACAAAGACTAGGATGGCCAAAATGAGAGCCGCGGTAACAGACCAAGGACGCCGTCACCTTGACTTGTACAGGAGACTGAGCTGGAGACGTCTGTGCCCGCTAGCGTGGCTCAGCAGGACCTGCCTTTCGCTCCAGTGGGGCAGGGCCGGCCAGTTCACTGCCAGGGCGGGATTTGTTTTAAACAGCACTGCGCTCACTATAGATTTCATCGGAAGCTGCAGTTTTAACACTTCTGTAAGGCCAATCTGAGCCACCACAACAGAACGTGTAAGTGTTTGAAGGATGAGGCGGTCAGCTGACAGGTGGTGGCAGCTCAGTGACTATGAGAACAGCAGGCCAGGGACCCGGTGTCCCAAATGATGCTGGGAAAAGAAGATTTACCGGGTCAGCCCTTCTTCCCAGGAACTAGGGGGACATTTCAGGAGTGCTCCATGGACTAAGCGGCTGCCTCGGCAGGGAGCAGCTGTGGCACAGGACAGGTCTGTCCCACTAAGTACACACCATGTCACTGCAAGATGGGATGCTGAAATCCTGAGACTGGCGAGAGCTAGTGACCTGAGGCTCCCCCCCGTCCCCCACGTACTGCTGCTGTCATCTCTGTGTGACGCGCTATGGCAAGGTGACAGTAAAGAACTGTCGAGGCAAAATATGCTACAGGTACCCAAGATACCCACTTCCTACTGTACTTAGTTAAGTAAATGGATTAAGCCAGCTGACGATCACTTTTAGCCTGTGCATTTCTGTTTCACTTTGCATACTTCCTTGATCTGAGCATAATCTGAGCAGTTGCTTTTGAATCTAAAGTTCCCCATTCCAGAGTTACCAGAACCTGGCTTTTGCATCTGAGAAACTCAAACCTAAGAACATGAAAGAGATGGGTAGGCTCTTCTCTTTGCTCCAGAAGCAGGCACCGCTTTCCAGCTAGAGGAAAGGCCCAAATTCCGACACCTGTGAAGGACAAATTAAAAAGAACCTCCTCCCACAACATCCAACAAAGGCTAGCCCCGTTCCAGCCACGCACAACAAGCGATAGCCTCCTCCACCTGACTGCCGACACACCGGCTGGGAAGGCTGGAGTGCAGGCGTGGATATTTGCTGACAGCCAGCAGTATTTCCTGCATTCGGGCAAAGTTCTTCCTGCTCTGCACTGCTATGTTTTGCCCTTTCCCCCATGCGCATATTTCTCCTCTGACATCAATGGGAGGGGGATCCCGCGGGACGATAAGGGATCCACACACCACAATGGCCACGGAGAGCCCTTCTCGGAATAACTGTCAGATGAAGTATGCCAAACACAGGACCCGGGGGAGGTAGCTGCATTTTTATTTGTTCACTGTTCACTAAGCAAGTACTCTACAGGGTACAAGATAACAGTAACGAGATGGTGGATATTCATGCGTGCCTCACGGGAACGCGGGTGCTACCTTATTGCTACACCACTAGCACGCAGGCGCAGTGCTGCAGGCGTTCCTGGGAGGTTGACGCCGACAGCAGAGGCTATTACTGGAACAGGAATAATGCTGCTGTTCACTCGTCCTTCCGCGGCGGATGAAAGGAAAATGAAGAGCAGAGACTGGCTGCCTTTGCTTCCTGCAGCCTTCATCAGAGATGACATGCAAGGGCTAATTATCAGTTCAGCCACTGAAATCCAGCTATAGTTTCCAGTTACAGGATAATTGCTAAGGATGAAGGATGCACACGCCAGATACACGCAACCAAGAACTAGTCTCTTTGCAAAACTTACACCCGTTTTAAAGGGGAATTGCCAGGTTTACGAGAAGTCAACCATCATTTGAGTTGGCTTTGCCTGTCACCGGGATCGCTAGTCTTGTACTAGCTCATCTGAAGGCGACCCCATGATGCTCCTTCACATTTGGCAGCTCTGTGGTCTCTCTGCCACAGCGGCAGCGCCTACATTTTTCAGGCAGGTTGCACTTGCAAAGAAAAGCCAAGCACAGAGGTGTCCAGGTGACATGCACCTGAAGGATCTCACCCCATTTTAACTCTAGAGACAGATCAAGGTGGATCCCCATCAACTGATTTTGGACACCCAGAGCACGCTGACTGTCTAAGGTCTTCTCTGTGTAGACTAAGCAGAAAACATGGAAGTTAACCAGTCTGTGCTATCGGCTTTGTGAGCATCGCTGCTACCACCATTCATCGCCAGTGCATCGCCTTCCGTATCTCTCTGCTGATAACCTCCCTAGCTAGCCACAGAAGTTTGCAGGCCATCTCGGACAAAGCAAGCACCGCTGGCAATAAAGGCTAGGTGGTGGTTGTGTTCTAGATGAGGATCACAGAAACATAGAGATAGCCAGGAAAGCCCAGCAAACAGCTTACTCTCATTCAAGATTTGGCTGTGCAACTACACCCCTTGCTCACAACCACCACAGCATCTCTAGAGTTCAGGTTATCCACGCAGGCTGAGCATTTTGCCCTGGGAAAGGGGAAGCAGTGATGGAAGCAGATGTGATGGTGCTGAGAGAGACAGCCTCAAATAAATTACCCTTAGGGCAACTGGGCAGAAGTGTCTGTATATGCTTCTGGGAAGTAGCGTCCAGGTTTCCCCATCTCACGTTTTGTACCTGTGACTTCAGAAGTGCTGACTCAAGTCATGGATGCCCAGGGCCAGGCCAGAGCAGCTCCAAGGCAGCTCTGGAAACACCAGCAGTGATAATGCAGATAATTACATATTATGTACACCCAGTCATGTCGGTACTGCTTCTTCCACCCCTGTGGAGACCTACGCACCAGTGATCTTATTCGCATGTTACCCCCGTGCCTGGGCCACTCTACTTTTCACCACGTGCATGGAGGCAGAGATCCCTACACCACAGAAGCAGCAGAAATCTGTCATGGCTTCCAGCCAGGCACATCAGCCACTGGCATTTTCCTCACGTCCAGACTCAGTGACCTTTATGTTCAGCCCACTTGCTGATGGCCAGACAAACGTGACGGAGGAAAACATAAAGTCATCAGCTCCTAGAACTGTCCATTGAGCCTGGAGATCCGAGGCCTGCCTTCCCCACTGAGTGGGCATTGCGGTGACTGCACGGAGACCAATGCCAAGGCTCCTGCAGTAACTCATGGAAAAGGCAGGGCCTGGGCTTGGCTCCATCCCTGCCACATCACCGTGTGGCTGGCACAGCACTGTCACTCCTCAGGAGTGAGTGATGGCTCTCTCCTACCACTGCCCTTCTGCTGTGTGGTCGCCAAGCCCATGATGGCAGAACGTGAGGCTGACAATGTCTGTCACTTCAGTCAGGCTTCAGCCGTTCAGCGGGGAACCTCTTAGAGTCTGGCATCATGCTAGCTACAGACGGTCTTCCTGGCTTTTGCCAGTGGCACCGAGTTGTGCTTACACTACTGACCTGGAAGGGAAAGGCAGTGAAGTGCTCATACCACTCGTCATGATGCCATCTAGCTATGACTAATCTGTCCCTTACTATTAGATTTTGTGCCTGCCCCGGAATTAAATAAATCTGTATACAAACCACATGAAGACATACCAGTTCCTTCCAGTGCCAGTTTTGTGCATAGTATGGCTGACTCACAGACTACAAGACGTTTAGCCCACTCTCCTGGCAAGTAAGATGCTGTGCAGCAGCTGATCCATAACTACCTGGCCAAGATCAAAGACAGAAACTCATGCTTGCAGCGGGCTTAGCAGATGCGGGAACATCTGGCCCGAAAGAGAAGTCTTGGGAACTGAGCTTCCCCATTGACTGCAACCCTGAGCCCAACATCGCGAGCGTGAGAATATGCTTTGTCATTAAAGCAGCGTGGGAACGGGCCAGGTCTCCATCCTGCCTCAAGCCTTTACTGCCCACAAAGCTGGAGGCACCTCAGAAGGTCAGCTCTCGGCAGCCACTGCCAGCGCCCAGCGGAGGTGCGTGGCAAGAACTGGTTGTTGCTTCACAGCGCACCCAGGCTCCAGGACTCCTGATGCTCTAAGGATACAGGTGTTCGCTTTGGACTTTTAGGTAGCTCATGTCATGCAACAGAGTAACACGCTCCCAGTGAGGAGGTGCAGAACTGCCAAACAGAGGGAGGCCACAACCTGTTTTGTTACCTTCAGGAAATCTCTGCTGCGGTAGGGATTCACCTGCTGAGCTCACCCAGGGCATGGCCTGGGTAAAGGCAACAGGACCAGACTAAAGACAGAAAAAGGTAAAAGAGAAGAGATTGCATTGCCTTTTTTTAGGGACACGGTTTAGCGGTAGACTTGGCAGCATTAGGGTTGCGGTTGGACTCAATGATCTTAAAGGTCCTTTTCAACCTAAATGATGCTGTGATTCCATGCCTCGAGCAGCCCGCGCAGCGAGCGGAGTTGGGCAACGAACGCTGCCCTACACTCAAGTCACCGGGCACACCTGGACATTGCACAACCAACCAAACACCCCACAGCAGCACAGCGGAGAGTGACACCTGCGCGCTCGGCTCCTCAGCGCATACAGCCACCCAGGGACACCCATTCCTGCCCGCGACCTTACCTGGGAGCACAAACACCTCTGCTTCACCTGAAGGCAAGCCAAGCTCTACATTCAACCGGAGATCTTCCAGC